ATCTGCCTCATTTGCCTATTTACCTAATTGATATAAATTGATCATTTGCAGTAACAATGTCAGTTTAATGGACTAAGTTGATTTCATGGGCAAACCCTCAATTTGGACAGACCTTAGTCCATTTAATGAGGATGGGATCTGAGTGAAAATTTTGTCCATTGTATCTGAATCCATTAAACCAAGGTCCATTAAACTGTAGCAGTACTGTAGTTCTTCTGAGATGGGCGGCATACAAATTTGAAAAATAAATAAATAAATAAATAAATAAATAAGAGTTTGTTCTCAAATCTGTCTTGGGTACTCTCATCTCTTTCTCAGTTGGTTTCCCCACCCAGTAGAGTGGATGATTTATTGTGCACCAAACAACAAGGGATTTTAAAATGTAGATTTAAGCTTAATAGGACTTAATTTGACTTGATTCCAGTTGAATCAACTTTTCCGCCAGAGTTCCATCAGCGATGGATTCAAGATTTGTGCTGTAACTGGATTAAGGTCAGTATTTACCAAAGGTGGCTCTGAGCAAGATCTTGATCACATCAAGTTCATACAATACATTAAACCAAAACCAAGTAAACTATGTTATGGCTTAGTATGCCATGTAAATTCAGCCAGGTGTGGCTTACTCAGCAAACTATGATTAAGTAAATTATGGTTTAGTGAAATATTTAAAATAGATCTATGTCTGTGCACTCATTGTTTGGATCCTACCTGTCTTCAGTACTGAGCACTTGAAGATACCACCTAAACCTGGCTATGTAAAACTTTTAACATAGATGGTGATTCTCTAGGTGGAGGATTGTTTTTGCAGCACACTAGGAAGCTAATTATCCATGTTATATTGTATTGTTTTAACCTTTGTTATGAAGGTGGACTGTTAGCCTGAGCATGAAACTGAGCAAACTCAGGGAGGCAGTGAAGGACAGGAAGGCCTGGCGCAATATGGTTCATGGGGTCATGAAGAGTCGGACACGACTTAACGACTGAACAACAACAATGTTAGCCACTTAGCTGGTTACAGTTGAAGCAGCCTACAAGCCTAAGTAATAAAATAAAAATAAGAAAACACAGTATTTCCCAACTCACATTCTCCAAGCATGTTGGGCTTTTAACTTCCAGAATTCCAAATCAGCATGTCTGTAATGGAACAAGAGTCCCCTTTCCCTTCCCTACCCACCTTTCGAAGTAAACCAGAGCAGTGCTGCAGGATATACACAACAAAATAGCACTCCCCATCTTCTACATTTCTTCAGATTTTTGAACTATGATACAATTTAGAGCTATGGAGAATAAAGGAGCATTTCATTCATAACCTCTTTTCTGTAGACAGACCATTGCTTTCCATCCACTTACCCCTTAAGCTAGAAGTGGGTAGCTTTGGCTGATTATAAAAATCCTGTGCAAGTTCAGCAGGAGCTCTCTCTCCCTTCCCTGCAACCTGGGAGAGAGAGAGGAGAAAAGTAACCAAAAGAGATGAAAAAAAAAAGGGGGGGGCAGATAGAATAACAAAATTATCGGTATATATCAGAAACAGAATGCCCATTTTAGGCACTGGCCCCACTCATTCCTTGTTGCAGCTGTGCCTACCATGTGGATCTTCCTTCACTAACAGATTATTCCTGGAATAATGCAGCTCTTAGCATTAAAAAGGTTGCTAGCCCCTGCTGCTGACTGAGCTAAGTATCTTAGGAAAGGGATTCCAAAATAATCAGACATGAGAATAGTCAGATTTCTCTCAAGATTATCAAGAGGACATTCAAATTGTCCAGTCCAGTGGATATTGACTGAAAAAATTAAGGGCAGGGATATGAGGGAAAGCAAAAGCAGACATGGTTCTGTTACTGGGCCTGGGGGCCAGGAGGTGTGGCTGAGCCCATAAAATGTTTATGTTGATTTATCATTAATGAGTTTGTTTTTTCCCTGGCTGTGGTTTATATGTGTGTTGTCATTTCCTATTTTTTATGTTTTATGCTGTTTTTAAATATTGTTAGCTGCCTAAAGTCATGAACTTGAGATGGGCAGCCATATACATTGAAATAATAAAATTTAAAAAAATAAAATATAGTTCACTTGGAGTACTGCAGCATTGGTTAAAAATCAGAGTCACAGAAGCACCTTAAATCATGACGATTAGCCAGCTGGCATGTTTCTCATTTAGGCAGAGTTCCAACAACACACAAAACCCAAGTTAATAAAGAAAAATATTGTATTCACATATTAAGCCCAAACTAATAAACTATTTTCTGATTAACATGATGGCCCTGTTCATACAATATACTAAGGCAGTGTCTGATTGCCACAACACACTCAACCACAAACTGCCCAACAAGCTTTTGCTGTAGCCTATTTTACTTGTGTGAACCCAGACTTATTTTATAAAGCCATTGGCAAGAGGTGGGGCAAGCTGTCTTGCTTTTCTGATGCATATATCAGAATTGGGACATGTCTGCAGGAAAGCTTCATTTTTTTTAATCTGTTGGATCCTAGGAGCTGGAATCCAGAAACTTCATGGAAATGCATTCATTATTATTAATTTCACCAAAGTAGATTTGGCCCACTCCTAATAGGCTGGATAAATTTACATGATAACCCATCATGTGGCTTGACTGGTTTTAGCTGAGTCTGTTTGGTTTCAACCCCAGCCATTGTGGTTTGTAAACCAGGGTTTATTTTTGAATGTATTGTTTGGCGACCCAGCCAATTTTGGTTTGTTCAGTAAAAGATGCTAAGAGCAATGGATTTCTTCGCGAGTAGTTGGGAAGCCCTTGACTAAGACAGTGGGAAATACAGCTCTCAGTGGTCTTGCTGGCTAGAAATTTTGCACCACTGAAAAAGACAGTTTTGGCAAAGGATATGTTAACTTAATTATGTTATGATAATATACATTAACTTACATTATGAAGTCTCAGCATACCATAGTGTGAATCTTTTGTTCCATATGCACTTTGATCTTAAGACATGTCATCAAGATATCAAAGCTCAAGATGGCTTTGAAAGTTGCCTCTGAAAATATCTGACTAACTCACAGTACAGGTAGTCCTTGCCTAATGACCACAGTTGGGACCAGAACTTCCATTGCTAAGTGATGCAGTCGTTAGGTGAAACATCATGTAACTGCATTGCTTAATGACTGCAATCCCAGCAGTCCTGGTTGCCATCGTTAAGTGAATGCACTGGTTGTTAGGCAAGGCAAACTCACCCTTTTTCTCCCCCTTCAACACCCCGCCCCGCGGGGGCGCGGGACAGGACAGCCGCCCTCCGCCCCGGCGCGGGGGGGGGGGGGGGGGGGG